CACACGCTCAAAGAAAGAAGGGGGGGAACCAAACCAAAAATGTCAACAATTGCTGCTTACTTCAGCTATACATGGTGCTCACTTTGAAGTAGCCAAATTCATCCACAACTGATCTGAAAGCCAGCACCAAAGTTCCAAATCTTTTTAAGATCCCCAAGTTGCAACACGAAGCAAAGTTTGCTTTTACCACACCATAAAGCTCACCAAGAGGCTGTTGTACCAACAGCTCAGGCTCCAGAACTTACCAGCCAGGCCTCTATGATTGGGAGCAAGGTTTACCTACAAACCTTGCAACTTCTGTTCAAGAAGATAAAAGAGAAAGCTTCTAAGTGTTCCCTAGCTAACAGTCCAACCCCAAGTGAGAAAGTCAGGCACACACAAGTTTTCTACTTTTTCTAAATTCTGTGTGCTAGAGGAGCTGCAGCCCTTTGTGTTGAAGGATTTCACATTCATGTTCAGTGAGGGTCTCGTGCAGACATCAAAGGAAAACATTAAACTTCCTTGGCAAGCCTTAGGCTAACTTCAGAGGATACATCACTGCATAATGTTTAGCAGTTGGATCACAGTAATTCATGAAAAAAAAGAGAAACTGCAGGACGCCCACAAGACATTCCCTACATATTTCCATAATCAGGGACATTTCTGCTGAATTATTTGTTCATGCAGCAAAAAAGTCAGCAAGACACCAAGGCAGCTGCATTTGGCCTGTATCTTTCTGCTCCTGTTCCCATCCTTTTCCACTGGACACCAGGTACATATGAATTCAAACAGAAAAGGCTGACGATGAGTTTGAATAGCACAGAGTAGGTAGAAACCAGCATCACATCTGCCACTTTGAGAAAGAGATGATATTTACAGTGTTGAATGTCTATTACATTAGCTGTTCCCCCAGGAGCCACTAGAAAATGACATGAAGGCACATTTCTCAAGAAAAGTCCCTCTGTCTCCTTCCTGGAGAGGTTTTGCCACTATTGACTATCGAACACATTTTTTCTTAAACATTCTCAAAAACCATGGGATGTTGTGTCTGGGAAGGGTAAATGTAACAACAAATATATTTTACTTATTTTTTGGCAATTGGAAGGTATTGAAATATGCTTTTTAACTACAGTCGCCTGGCACAGTATTTTTGTTTTTACAGTAAAGCCAAAGAGGATTAGGACACGCCGTACTAATTGACAAGAGCAGACAGTACCTGCTCCAAAGCTTTATCTTCCAAGCAGACTGGACAAAACAGCAGCATTTCAACTATACAGGTGGGGAAAGGAGGAACAAAGACATTAAGTGACTTTGTCAAGGTCACACAGGAATCAGTTGCGGGGTGAGGTTGAGTTCCCAAAGTCTCAGCCCATTTAGGTATTGGAAAAAGCAATGAAACAAGAGTATGTACTAATTTTGGCAGAGATTTTTAAATCTTGCATTGCTACAAGGAACAAGAACCTCCACTCATGCTAACCCAGGCACCGAATGAACATATAAAGGAAAACTAGTTACTCACTCCACCCAATCTATCTGATCACCTTATATTTCCTAAGTCAATAAAGACCTTTCTTGGCCAGACGATCCAACCCACAATTTAGATCTTATTACAAATCAGACATACTAAACCACTTTCTCCCTCTGGCTGCAGAAGATAAAAGGCCAAGCAAGCAGGCAACATTTTAGTAACTGGCTTCATGTAACAGCTTCGGATTTTCTTAAAAGCCTCAGCATCGATTATTTTCTTTAAATAGCAGTAGCTTATTGAGAAACCTTCTACTCATTTTAATGCACAAGGTTCTCCTCAAGTAGAAAAGAAAGCAAAACCTGCCCTGCCAAGGCATATTTGACAAAGAGTTTCAGGTACCCAGTTCTGGCAGAACACTTTGAAGTGAGAGTAAGTTAACACTGGTGCTGAAGGGCTAAGAGGGGAAATTCAGAGATGAAGAGGAAATAAAGTATGGACTGACACAGAACAATACCAGGACTGAGCTCCAGATAGTGTTTCAGCCAACGGCACGAGCCAGGCTGTGATTTGTATGTATCCAAAGGAGCTAAAAGCTCATGGCATGCAAAGCAGTACAGCTCTCATGTGGTCTCTGCACAACTCGGGGCAAAAAGGAATAGAGGAATTAATTTCATCAAGCCAAATCACCAACACCCTGCTGTTACATAAAAGCCTGTTTTCTAGGGAACGTTTCCAACGATGGTGTCATTTGGGCTGTTTTGATTAAAGTGACATAGTCAGGTTCAAGATGGGATACGCTGCAGACCGAGAAAACACTCTGGTTTGACGAAATCTCCCACTCCCTTTTCAGTTCTCATGGCTCTTCTTTCTTCCCTCCCGTTTGCCACATTTTCATATGGAAAACAAGCATGGCAATTGCACTGCCTGGTTCTCAGATGCTAATGTAAGGCTGTGATGAAAGAACTGCAGAAGGCCTCGGGGAGATGTTTAAAACCTAACTCAAACAGATAAAAAGATGACTATTAAAGTTTGCCTGGGAAAATCTCTACACATATTGGAAACCCCTTGAGGCAGGGACTGCCCTTCTGTTCTCAGTTTAATGGCCAGTTGTACAAATTATGATTGCACAATTACTTTTATAAGGTTTTCAATTATACAAAGAATGTATCTTATTAAAGTTTATAACTCTGAGAAATAAAACCTAAAACCCCAAAGCCTTTGCATTCAAGCTGCATGACCCGTTAGTGCTCCATCACAACGCGGTCCCAACACTATTACAAATTTACACCACAGCCTACAATGAACTTTATAACGAGCAGACACAAGCACTGCAGCACTCTTAGTTCCAGGATTCAATATGCATAGCCTCATATTGTGCTTTCATACCTTCCCTCCTGTGTCTGTATTTTAGCAGTCAGCATTCTTGGGCAGTCACTGCGTGCCTTGATGGCTGGAAACTCAAATTCCAAGCAGTCTGCAGCACTAGCACTGCCCTGCTGGGAGCTCCTTACCTGCAAAGCTGGCCACATGGCACAGGGGAGAAGAATGATCATGGACATGGAACAAGGAGGGGAAGGAAGTGTCAAAGGTAAAATCACTGGGAATGTATAGCCTTGTGTTTTCCCTGGCTGGGATCAACCACATCAAAAAAAAAAAAAAAAAATCAGAGCACAAACTCTAATCCACCACCATAAAAGCACTAAGTAAAACAAGTCTTCTTTATTCAGTAAAGCATATTCTGTCCCAACACAAAATCCAGCTGGTAACAACTCTCCCAATGGAAACACAGGGGAGTGACTACCCCATTTTATGGATATCTCAACTGAGCACAGGAGCCTGAAGTCACATAGCTTGTCTGAGAGGTTGAATGTATTTCACATCCAGACCTGGGCACAGATTGCTGTTGACATTTACATTTCAAAACTTCTTTCTGTTGAGGAAATGTACAACCTCCTCCTCTTTAAAAGCATGAGGCTTTGCAGTCCCTCAAGGACAGCTCTGCTAAGAACCACTGCAATTGTACCAGAACAAGAAGAGCCCCCATGAGGCCCAGAATGACTCACAAGCGATAGCCTAACAGGATGCCTGCCTATTCAGAAACTGCAAAAACCAAAATTGAAGCAGTCTGCAATCAGCATTATTCATACCACAATACTCAAATTGAATTGTTTGGCATGGAGACAACATCAGAAGTGCGCATCAACCCTGCCCATGAACCTACCAAGAGAAAAAGGAAGGAGACAGCCTCCGATGGAAGAAAGGTCTGAGCACCCAACATGGAGAATCCAAAAGAGCCCCACAGCTGCTGAGATGTCAGCCCTGTGAAGACAGATGCCCTTGGTGCAAAGTGACACAGTTCTAATCTTTTCTGCACAAACAGGAAGAGGGGAAGCACTACACGCTTTCCAACAGGCAGAGCACCTCTGTCCCTTCTGATCCTGGCATTTCTCTCCAAGAAGCTGAACTGGTTTGAAGTTGCACGTGCACACACACAGCTCACGGCACAATTTCCTCTCATCTCAGCTAATAAATCTTATGGCGTGTCTGCTTTTTCTGAACGCAAGTTTTATAAGCTGAGTAAACTTTATGGAATAGTTGATTGCTATGGCAGCCAAAACCTGGAAACTTGATGCCTGACCACAGCCAGGCACTGCAGGCTCCAACAGACACTCTGAGAAAAGTTCAGTTTTCACACTTCAGAAAGAGATCCTCTTACTGGTCTGTTCCCTCTGCATCAAAGGCCCCTGACTTATTGGCTCTGAAAGCTTTTCATTTAGCTTATTCTCAAGACCATTCCCTTTGTGATCAACAGATCAGAAGACAGGACAGAATCTTTCCACCCTTCCCAGCTCAGAGCACATCCCACCATCCACCCCTTGCTTTTTCACTGCAAAGTGTCTTGATATGGCAAAAATACAAGGGTTTGAGCAACAAGTCATCAGGCTTTGGAAAGCCATCTTACATCTCAGTAGAAACATCAGAGAGCCTTCCCTTAAATAGTCGCTTTAGTGTAGTCGCTTGGTAGAGCTCAGGGTTTAACAGAGAGAACATCTCCAGACACTTCGCCTCCAAATCATGACCATGCAACAACCCTTCAGCTACGCTGACAAGCACGTACATGAACAACAAGTATCAGAAAAACCTCCAAATCATGACCATCCAACAACCCTTCAGCTACACTGACGAGCACGTACATGAACAACAAGTATCAGAAAAGTAATTCACACAGTCCCAGCCATCAGCTAGTGCAGTTTTACAGCTGGAGAGGGAAGAGGCAGTATCACAGGAAGAGACAGACCACCTGCAAGCACTCCAGAGGCCCAAATTTGGACACCTGTCCCCTCTAGCTATTTTCAAGTTCACTCAAAACAGAAACGGCAGCTCACAAATAGATCCTTCAGGCTGAGAGCCCATTTTCCAAGCAAAAACTGTGGTACCAGTTAAGACCAGTGATTTCCAACAGCAACTGACCTGCAATGCGAGCGAACGCACCCTTCCGCTCCCCAGGGAGGAGGCGTCCACCCAGCACCTGGGGGTGAGGTCATGCACGTACCTTGGAAATGAGCTCATCGTGGTTGGCAAGATGAGCCCTGCAGTGAATGCAGCTGTAGGTCCTGTGGCACGAAGGCAGATATGCCTGGAAAGTCTTGGACCTTGTCATCTTCACCATTGGAGCCACTGAGCGCTGGGTGAACTCTGGGGTGGCCCAGGAGGCACTCCCGCAGGACGGGTCGCACGGGAAACACCGGAAGACACAGGTAAAGGCCGTGGTTTGGCAGGTGATGGGTGTGGGGCAGGCTCCACACGCTGGTGACCGCTTCAGAGGAAGAGATTCGGGCAGAGGGAACGGGGAACTTCACACCAACCTGAGTTCAAAAAAAAAAAAAGAACAGAGACAGAACGCTCAGCTCAAAGGCAACAACGGTCTCCCAGTCCACAGGAGGATTTTGGGTTTGATCGAGCGAGCAGGGAAGAGTCAGAGCAGCCAGGAGACGGGTGTGATGTCTGCAGATTAGATCAAGGAGGACAGAGTTCTATTCACAGCTCAGCCACTGACTTGCTGACTGCCCTCACATCTTCCTGCTTCTGTTATCGACCATCTTCCTATCACTCCAACGCTCACAATCTCTAGTCTAACACCTAATGGATTTGGAAGTGACTACAGAGCCACAAAGATGCTAAAAAAATGATTTTCATCAAGCCTAGTCTCCCAAACACCTCTGAGGAACCGCACACATCAAGGTCCAACCCTGCACCAGCCCTTGGAGAAGCTGGGCCCTGTTAGCTGGAGAGAAAGATGGGACCCAGTGTCAGCCCTGCTGGCTGCTGCCCTGCGTGACTCACGGATGCGACACTCCGGAAGTCTGCGGGAGAGCTGGGAGCTGGACATGGGTTTCCTCAACCACCAGGAAAGTGCAGGAGTCACCAAACCAGTTCTTCTCTCCATTCTGCCCTAGTTTCCACATGGGAAATGGATGATTACTTCATCACACTCTTTATAACTCCCTGCAAGCTCTGAAAGTAGAAGCTACTCTATAAAAGGGCATTCGGGTGTATTTTTTTTTAACTCCAAACATCTGACAACAGTCAAAGCAAGAACAGCCTCCAAAGACTATTCTTGATAGTAAGAGACAGCTAAAAATCCTATTGAGGATGCAAACACCTTTTTACTATCCAATGTCATCTGGCAGAACCTGCAAGGCAGCTCAAGTCTGGGTCTTTTTTTATTGGCAGAAATCAGTTTTTCAGATCCCACATCTATGAGGCTTAGCAGCTACAAATGTTTCTTTTGAGGATGGAAGAAGCATAAGGGATAAAGGAAGCAGGTCCCCTCCCTCCCTGATACATGGCGTGCATGCATGCTCTAGAAATTAATCATGAACTCTGGCTGCTCCTCCCATGAGGATTTTCCTTTCCATAAAACATGTGATTCTGTTGAGTTTCTGAGTCTGCACTTTGTGTATCAAATACTGGAACACCACCAAACCTGCAAAAACCCAAGAAAACCGAGAAATAAAACCCCCACACCTCAACTGCAATGGAAATTTCTGAAGTGGACAAAACAAAAGCACAAGAACTTAAGAGCTGGTCTCTAAGCCAGTATGAGTAACTTGCCTGAAGCACAGCTGATAATCTTCCAGGTTAGAATAAAGGCAGCCCAGGTCATTATGTTGCTACACTGCTAAAATAGCTCGCTGGAGTTTGCGTGTTAAGCTGGCTCTGGTGCTGCTCAGCAGGACGTGCCTTCCCAGAGACAGCACCAGCCACGCACCAGCTCAAGGTACGCGGCAGAGAACTGATGGACTGGGACCATTCTAAGGAAATACATCCCCCTCTGGCTTGCTAAAGGGGAAACTGGCAAAACACCAGGAAAAATCAAAGGGGGAACTGATGGCAGGACCCAAAAAATGTGTTGTAGGAGGCAGTTCTGTTGAACTCATAAGCATCCCATTTAGACTATCCCTTTTGCCCAGTGTCAGCATCAGTCAGAAGTATCTCTCCATGACAAAACTCTCCAAGTCATATTGAAAACAACAACAAAACTCAGCCTGTGAATCTGTTACTGCTGTCTGCTGGGAAGCCTCATGTGTGATCACTGTCAGACAGCAAGATCTGCAAAAAACCTCATCATCTAGGTACCTAAGCACCGTTCATGGAAACCCCTGTCTTCCAACACTGCTCCTGAGTTTTCTTGTCACTGCTAAAAAAGAAAATTCAAGGCATCCAAGTTGCCTTAGTGTTTCTGAAAGCATTACCCACTGAACCTACAGCTGGACAATCCCCGAAAGCCAGGCATCCTGTCTGCAAGCTTCCCAGTATCAGCTCCTACAAGCTCTATACTGGAGGGTTGTCATAGGCTCACACGGGCATCATTTGGTGCAGTCAAATCTTCATTACATTATGACCATGCACAGTGCTCAACAGGAGGCAGACACCTGTGAAGCAACAGGATACCCTTTTCTTTTTTTTCTGAAATATTTTTCTTCTGCTCTCCAGAAGGCAGCTCCCTTACAGTCAAATGGGAAAAAAAAGAAGAGCCTTGCTCATCCTGCAAACTGCTGATAAAGCATATCTATCATGATCATAACAGTCAGCACTTACATAGCACTTCTCATCCTTAAAGCTCTTTGCAAACACTAACTAATCAGATTAACCTTTTCCAATTAAAGTTACAGCGAGAGCTTTGGAAGACCCATCCTGACACAGAAGGGCTCACTTCCCAGCTTGTTAGTAACTAAACCTCCTCTTGTTCAGTAAAAACAGGCCTTGCCAGGAATTTATCTGGCCAACCTTTAGCTAAGCAGACTGCCTGCGCACTATGTGGTACACGGCTGCATCTCTGTATTTCAGCAAGATTTGTCTTTTACACTAATCAGAGAAGAGAAATCAGGCACTCTTCACCTGTATCCCATCCCAGCTCTCCACGTGCACCAGAATTCTGTCAAAACTGAGTTTTGCATTAGACAGCATTGTTTTCCCCTCCAAGGTGAGGGGCACTTTGGGGACTGAACCCCAAGTTTGAAACAGGCCAGAAACAAGATGCACACCAAAGCAGAACCCCTCCTTATTTTCTGATTAGATGTAAGTAACACATCCCAGCCTTCCTGAACTAACCAAGTGCCAACCTTTACAGTCACAAGACAACAGAACCATCCACAAATTCCAAGCCCCTGATTCAGCAGCCGATTTGCTATATCCCAGCCTTAACGGATCTGTGAGCCATGTGCCTTGTCCTCCAAAGCACGGAAGCAGAAGACTAAGTGTGCTCTTTCTGGGCCCAAATGCAATTGGATTCCAAGGCACAGCACCAAGCTCTGTCTGAAAGAAACAGATTACGTTGGACAGACCATCTGGAGGGAAGCACAAGGAAGGACTGGCAATCACTTTACCTCATTTCTGAATGAGAAAACAGAGACTGTGTCTGAAACTTAGGTTTCATTGATTCATAATGAAATGGTGCAATCCCCTCTCCTTTTCTTCAGCATGGGTAAGTAAATACACCAACCACCAGATTTACTGCTTCCCTCCCATACTCTCATGCCAAACATTTATTTTTCTGATCAGCTTCCTAGCCCTGCAGCACAGCAGCTGGAGAAAGCAGTCCACAGGCATCCTTAAAGCCAAATGGAGACATAAACAATACCCAAACAGAATAATATAAGAGCAATCCCAAATTTGTTGTTTGCTGACCCCTCTATCCAGGCCTCCTAAGCAACAATGCTCCAGAACAACAAGTAAAACAGGAAATACTACAACTCCATTTATCTAACAGAGAAATGAACGCACACACGAATTATCTGCTGCATGCAGCTTTCTGCAGAATCATTTAATGAGCATTCATTTATTTGATCTCCTAACACATTTAACGTCAGCAAAAACATTTGACCTTTTACAAGTGGACAAAAAAAATACTGAAGCAAGATGATATCAGAGCACAGATTAAGATTAATTGCAATTCCTGTTCTCATTACCGTGGTGAGAAGGCAAACCAAATCGATCTCTTTGCTTAGGGCAGGGAAAAGAATAAAGGTTTGTGAGCTACAATCTTAGTGGGAAACCTAGGTAAGAAACTGCCCTGAAAAAGAACTGTAGATAAGCTCATATAAAGCCACACTTTACAAAGGCACCACCTTTGTAAAGCATTCAGCCTGACAGTCTGATCTCTCGTGTGTGCTATCTACCAAGAGCTCTGTCCTCATAGGAAGGGAGAGGAAGGAAAACCAGTAGGAAATGCATTCTTACAGCCTATCAGCACAGCTAGCAGCTTGTAAGGACACATTTCTGTCTTGAATATCATCTCAGGATGTATTAAATAGGATCCATGGCTCTCAGCAATGCAAAAACCAACCTCCTGTATTTTCTTCCTGTCCTAGTAGCAAACACATTTGAATTAAAATACATTTAACAGCTAACAGTGCATTCATTCTACCGTAAAACAAGGGTATGGTGATGATTTTAGGCTGTGCCTCTGGTTTTTCAGAATGATGACTTAATGTTCATCAGCCCCACTGACAGTGGGCATTAGTGGAGTCATTCCATTCACTATAAAAAACAAAGAGATGCTTTGACTACTTTATCATTGTGCCCAGTACTGTTAGAGATTAATATCTGTCACAATCTTTTACCATTCTTCAAGAGAAATTTATCTCTGGGATGGATGCGCTCACGTCAATGGAACAGAAATCTATGCATATTAATTAGTTATTGAGAACTCAGAAAACTGGTTTAGACAAAAGAAAAAATTCTAGGGGCAAAGCTTATCAACATTGTTTATTGTGGTTATCGGTGAGAGAATCAGCTGAGTGTCCTGCTTGCACACACTGTGTGTGTTTGGGCTGCCCTGCTTAATCCTGCCAAGTTTTAAGCAGATGCCACCTCCATGAAGGAAAAACCCCACCATACATTTTGCCATTCAAACAACTTTTTGGTTCAGTCTATCACCCTCTACCTGCCCAGCAGCCTCTTTTCACTTGGAGCTGTTGGCAATTCAGGAAACACAGAAAAGGAGAAATGCCAAGTCTGTGCCAAACACTTGCTAGACAAGGCTAGTGCCTGTACGAGTCCATATGCCACAATGGCAGAGAACAAAAACCACCATGCACAAGGCTAATTTTGCATAAAACCCATGTGCAGCTCAGATGCAAATGTTCCTGTTCATTCTGGCAGGACAAACAACAGGTTTGTTGGGTCTGAGAGTCTGTTTTATGAATTATTTGATTTTTTTAAGATATAAGAAACTTTAGTCTGTTAAATACTTCTTAGAACACAGCAAACGCTATGAAAAGCTGCCTTTTGAAAGTTGCTTTGAAAAAAATCCATCTGTTTGGAAACCCAACCTTTATTCCTTGGTGTCTCTTCTCATTAATACAGAAAGAGCTGGAGATACACTTACACCGAGTGCAATGAGAGCACATGAGGAATCGGGTTTGGAGAGTTCTCTGTGTCTACAAGGCCACAAGGCAATTTTAAGAAAATACTTGAGGTAAGCACACTTACCTACCAGGGTTTTCTTGACATGGAAACTGCCTTAGCATCACTTAATGCACTGCAGTTTGAAGGAGGAAGGCTAGTCTCTAAGGTGAGGCGCTGAAACTGGAGTCTGAGTTTAATGCCCAGTTTTGTCAGTCTTCCCTATGGAATAAAAGTTAGTGTCAGAATTTCAGATGCTGAACCCTCAGAGACACCTGGCACAGCTAAAGGGGCTTTCATACTCTGATGATGTAGTACCACAACAAAAGATCCTGGTTTGGGGCTGCTCTGGAGACCCTCCCTACCACACAGGACTGCAACAGCTTTGGAAAAGCTGAAGCCAGATGATCTGAAGGCAGGAGGGTGGGAAGTACATTGTGAAAGGCCCTGAAAGAGAGGATGACCATTCTGAATTTAAACATGGAACACAAAGGAAAGCCAAGAAATTTTAAATAGCATATGGGTGTACACAGTGTTCCTTTACTCCTTTAGCATTAACTCTCTGAAATGCACCAATTTCAAACACTTGATGACACTGCAGACAGCTCAGCAGCATCATCACTTGAAGTCAGTAATGACACACAAACTCAAAGTGTCCTTTTCTAATGCCTGTGCTCCTTCAGCTCATTCTCCAAACCTTGCAAGCCCTCCAAGACAGGGAAATAACAAGGGAAACGGTGGCAGATGGCTGTCAAGAATCCTCTGCATTTACTTTTATCAGCTACATGGACACAACTGCAATACAAGTAATAATAGACCACCTTCAACTAGAAATATATTTAAACCTCCTTTATTGCTGGATATCTGCTAGCAAGCCACTTCAGTTCTGCAGGCCCTGGTTCTCTCTTCTGCATGCTGGAGACAGACACTTCCCCGCTGGGAAGCACTCTGTGATTTTGGGGAAAAAGCAGATGGATGGATGGAAAAGAGACACTGGTGACAAACAGTACTGCAGACAATTGCCAGGTAACCACTAGAGGGCATAAAAAAAAGAGATTCAGCAAGAAGCAATTAGGGACTATCTGGCCATAGTGAATCAGGGACAGGCACCACGCCAACCCTGCTGCACCTGCCGTGCTCCACATACCATGGCCAGCCTGTCAGGAGAAACAGCAGTTATTATTCTGTGCATAGCCATCAATACTAAAACTGTCAAAACCATCGTTGCAATTATCACATTTTAAAGGGTTTTTTTGTGTGTGTGTATTTTTTTTTTTTTTAAAGCGAGCAACATGTCAGTCTATGGTCTACCACAACTCTTCTCATCAAAAATAGGCTCAGCACCCCTACATCAACCTTCCTGGTCCCCCTCTCACAGAGAGGCTTTCTATAAAGATAAGGAAACTACATAAAATAAAAAAAAAAAAAGAGTTGAAACTTAAAAGGAACAAACAGCCAATCTTTAAAGCCTGCTTTAGGTTGGGATTTTTTAAGTCTGTCTAGCTTTGACACTCTATACACTATTAATCCATAACTTATGAAAACCAATGTCATTTTTGACAATATCATTCTTTACCTAGTTGATTTACCTTCTGTCAATTTGGAGATTAAATCAAATTTTAAAGTTTAACTTTTTTTTTATTAAATAGGCGACACCACACCAGTGCATTTTCGGGTTCTCAAGTGAAACTGTGTGGTGAGAAGCAAGTCCAGAGGATCCCTGCATTCAAAGCAAAAGCTTTATCGAATCACAGCACACAACTGACTGGAAAGCAAAGGAAAAGGTTCAAGTAATTCAATGAAGAAGGTGCAGAGATGCTTCTTTCCTGGCTGCAGACTACAGAGGCCAGCTGGGCACGAGAACTTTCTGACTTTATTTACAGATCTAGGGCTGGAGTTGGACCACTCAGTGTCAGAACCAGTTGCCTCTCCCTGCAATTCAGAACAAAGCCCACCCCTCCAAATCCACTTGGATACACCACAGACACCACTAGGAAGCAGGGAAGGGAAATAATTCTGGAATTTTTAATAAAATTCTTCTCTTTTCAATTTCACTTCAAAAGGCGCATGACAGCTCAGACAGACAGGGCTGCCTTCAAAATTTGTTACCTTTTCTGGGCCCGTCTCCAAAACCACACGAACAGGGAACTGTAAGATTCAGCCTCTACTGAGGAATGACTGACACCTCTGGCTGAATTCTCTTCCCACTCTCCGACGAGTTGCCTGGCAGCAGTATCTTTGCAATGCAGAAGAGCCTGCGCTGCTGATAAGAAGCAGCATGGCAAGCATGATAGCTGCAAGCTGCCCACCTTTGCTCTGCAGGTACCCTCCATCACAGCTAAATTCAATTAGAAGCCAGCACATGTCACCAAATGCAGGAGGAAACATACATGCAGAAAAGCATCACAGTTGGCCAGGACAAATTTGAAACAAGCCAGCATTTACTTTTGCTCCTACCAGCAAACCCCGCTTGTGCCACAAATAAACACAACTGCAAGCTGAACTAATTTAAAACACAAATGACTCCATTTCCTCCTTTGCATTTCACGAAGACTCATGCCAGCATCCCCTGCAATGGGGTAACAGTCCTTCATGTAAATTGGCCAAGTGGATATGATGCACTGGAGTGAGGCAACAGCAATGGCTCAAACACACTGTAAGATGTAGCTCTTCAATTAATTCACATCCATCTTTCTGCCTAAAAAACCCACACATTCAACTTGGTCACACTTGGAGACATAGACAAAGGACATCATCCTCTGCCAATATTGTGCACATACAGTGTTCTATAAAATGAAGGCCCTCATTTTGCTATTCTAGTACCAACCTGAGCTAAAGACATGAAGGAAAAGCTCTTCCCATCCAACTGACCAGTTTCTGACAAAATGGAAACATTCTTTATCTTCCCAACTTCTCTTCCTCATTTGTTTTAATTGTAGAACAGTCTAGCTATCCAAATCATGTCATTTTTTTTGTGCTCCTTACATTGCTCTATTACTTTCCTTTTTGGCAAACATAGGTATGACTAGAATTCAATTAATTTGGTCTGCTGGATGGATCATCTGTTTCCCTGGTAAAAGCTGGGTACTGACAAGGAACATGGTGAGAACATTTATCTATTGCAAGCATCCTTCCAATACCTTCCAAGTCATTTGTAGCTGAAATGAGGATCTGCTACAGCTGCCTGTCATGACTTACTATTTGCAAGCTCCCCTTGTCAAATCCTATAAGTTTTCATTTGCTCACGAAACCCATCTGCTCAGAGGGTTCTTCCCAGGAGCATCTTTTAACCAGCCTTGCACTGCCCAGAAGCACATCTGTCACGGGAGAGACAATGACTTTATTTTTTTTCTACTCTGGAGTGTCTGTCTCTTTTTCCCAGTAAAGCTAAGGATAAAATTTTGAAATCTGATCAATCTCTGCCAGTAACACTTTTTATGCAACAGTTACTATATATGAAGGAGGTGCATACTTTCCCTGGCAGTTCAGTCATCATCCTTCTGGCCTTCATTCCCACTGAAGGCACAGCAACCCATATGTCAAGGGGGCAAAGTCAGGTGAAGACTTACAGCTTGAGTCTTCACATGACGGATACTTTTTATAACTAAATCTAGTTTAAGAGGGTCAAGTCAGCTGTTACCTTGCCAGTTTCTGTCACTGGTTGCTCCTGGATATCCTCACTAGCCAGCGTGTTACTGCTGAGGAATGTGAACTGACTCACCTCCTACAGTCCTTGCCTACTGACGCGTGCTTCAGCTGGGAGTTCCTGGGGTTCTCATTAGATTCTCCTCTTCCCCCCCCCCCCCCCCAGTTAATTATTAACTCCATCTTTTTTTATGATGCTGGACAATCTGTTTTTAATAACATATTGCTCCAGCCATCCTTTAGTAATATTTCATCAGTGAAACTTCAATCTTCCAAATTTCTGTGGCTGAGCCATGCAACGCCCAGGTCACACCATGCTACGCTTCTGTCCTCATCATGAGGCCACTGCCAATGTGAAACACGAGAAGCGAGAGCACAGCTTTGACACCACTCTGCCTTCCCCTCTCAGTGGATCAAACAGTTCTCTGAAGGGCAAATTCAAAGCATCCTCAGCTTCTGAAACTTTTAATAGCCTTTGCTCAACCCCGGGAGTCGAGTTCTGTACAAGTCACAACTGCAGTAAAAAAAAAAAAACAGGGGTCAAAAAGCTGGATGCTTTTGTGAGTCAGCAAAACATCCCACCTTTTAACACACTCAACCAACACTGGAACAGGTGTAAAAAATAATCTCTAGTCAGACATGTAAGCCTGCCCAGAGAGACCGGAAGGTCTTACGGGTTGCATTCCTATAAGTTCCAATGACTCACATTGCCTGGCACTACCATTTGTTAAAGCAAGAGTGAAGCAGGGATAATAGCTATTTACTAAAAACAGAGGAGTGTGATTAGCTTTAATTAGCATTGTCAAGTGACTTGAGATTGTCAGGTACAAGATGTGGGAGAACTAAGTCTCATTAATTATGTTATTTCCTGCAGCCTTAAGTGGCTTGGCCAGTCCAGTGACGCTTCCGGAGACGAAGCTGCTCCTGACATCCAGTACATCCCATATCAGCGGGTGGAAACACTCCCAGATGGGGCTACCAGGTAAGAGGGTCGCAAAGCCAGAACACAAGAACAATCAGCTTATTATGTACTGCAAGAAAACTACCTGCCCTGATAAACGAGGAACAAAAAGGCAAGTTAAGATGTGGCAGAAACCAGACTCAAGAGAACCAACTGGGAAAATTCGCGCAGGATGAAGAGCAGGGGCTGATGGAGGCAAGAAGGACCATGATTCAGGCCCAGGACACAGCACTCCTGAGCAGCAAACCACCCAGAAAACTATTTTCTTCCCATTAAAGAAGACAAATTATAAATGCCTTGGTTTGGGGAAAAAAAAAAAAGAGATCCAGATCCTCAGTTGGCACCGCATCACCAGCAGACATACTGATTTACCAGCTAAAGATTGTTCTAAAGAACTGAAAAATCCTTCAGTCAGAATAGTCCTATGGACTCAGCTTCTGGAAGGAAAAGAAAACCTATCCTTAGCCTTTAGTTACTGTCATTAGATCTAGAAGACATGACCTCTGAATTAACAAGCACAGAAAAGAGGGAACATCCTGAAGGACCAACTTACAGGCCTCTGTCAAGGAGGGGAAAAAGAGGAAGTTGTATATTTCACTGTGGTTTCAAAGTGATA